AATCCCGGGGACACCTTGTTCCTCTATAATACTAGATGTGGCAGTTATAAACGTCCTGCCAGTGGCCAGTGAGAGACTGGTCAGTGAGAGACACAGTTATCTTCAGGCAACTTGGAACCAGAACACAATCTCACATTATAGAGAAGCTTCTTACACAGACTGGCAGACTGTGGGATGGGGAGGATTCTGGTGTGTGAAGTTTTATCATGAAAATAAAGAAATTTGGCCAATGGAGCATAATATCTACTCACTTAAAGTGACAGACAAAGCAATACACCAAGAGAGTCTAAGGGGAAGAAGGCAAGGGTTTCTTTTCTTGTACTGGCCTGTTTTCCTAAAAGACAGGATGTCATACAGTATCCTAAGCCTCCAGGGAACCTAATAAGGAAGGGCCATACTTCAGCCATTCCATTCTAGTGAAAAATCCATCTTATTTTTTAGAAACTCAGGAGAAAGAGTCCAGAACCCTCCCTCGGGACAGCTTCCGGTGGTCCACTTATTGACTCTGTCTGCAAGTTCTTCTCAAAGTCTTCCTTAAATTATTTTCAGTACAGCTAAAGCACATCACCCTTTGTTTATTTTCAAGATGCTCCTCCAAATACACATTCATATAAAAAATTAAGAAAAACATTTTAAAGGAGCATCGATAGGAAGACAAGACTTGAGAATTTGAGTTTAACACTAAACCAACCCGGCACCTCTTTTTCTGGCTACGTAAGACTCAGGAAGAGGTCAACTCAGAGACATGGATGACACTGGCATCTCTTGCATTTTGATCAAGGCTTTTTGAGATGAAYTTTGAACTGGGGAAATAATTTCAGATGACACAGCAAAAGACTGCAAACCGAACTTAACGGCGACCTGGCTGTGTGATCTGCCACCCACCCGTGGCCTGCTCCTGAACAGTCACCCCATCCTTACAGCTGCTCTCAGTGGAATTTAAGGACATAAGGAGTTACATGGCAAAGACACAGGTGTCAGGAAATTGCCTGTGGATTAAGGATTAATTCCTAGTATGTGCACTGTTGACCTTCTGCCCTCCCCCATTATAGGCAATGTGCAATTTGCTGGGGACAATCAGGGCTTTGGGAGCACAGATTACACATAGTAATCTCAAAGTGCTGTCGAGAATAAACATTAAATACTAGAATTACTGCTTTTTTTTCTGTAACCTAGAGAAAGGAAACTGTTATGCTCAGAGTGGTCAGTATTACACCACGGCATGACATTATCTTCGAGGCTGGCTGGTTCCCAGAATCCTCCGGAAGGCAAGCAACTCTTGACAGTGGCCAGCCAGGGAGTGAGCTGCTGATGCCATGGTATTTGTGCTGGAGGCAGGCTCCTGCTTCTGAGGAGCTGCGTGCAGGCGTGAATGAGTCTCCTTGCCTGCTAGCTAGGAGCTACAAACTATACCTGGCACCTCTGCCACTTCCTACAAATGTCTTTYGATCATTCACCTTGTATAAATGCAGTCACCTTGTTGGAAACTCTGCTTCTCTGTGGGAGACAAATACTTCCTCCAAACCTGCCCCTCTACCTTACAAAGCTTGGTAGGAAAATTAAGGTCCCTTTTCCAACTCTCCCCACCCCTACCAAGCCAAAAGGTCTCAAAAGACACCGCTTAGTCCAAGGCTCACAACAAAAATCCTGAAATCATTCTTAACAACACTTTCTTTTTTTTAAAAATTTTTTAAATTTTTTTATTTTTCGGCAGACACAACATCTTTGTTTGAATGTGGTGCTGAGGATCRAACCCAGGCCGCATGCCAGGGGATCACTTTACCACTTGAGCCACATCCCCAGCCCCAACAACACTTTCAATATTTAATACATTTTGGCGACCAAAGTAGAAATGACTCTGAAAGTTATCACCCTACAAACACAAAATACCAAAATGTTCTGTGCTATTAAAAACTCAAAAAAGGGGCTGGGGTTGTGGCTCAGTGGTAGAGCGCTTGCCTCGCACATGTGAGACCCTGGATTCGATCCTCGTCACCACATAAAAATAAATTTAAAAAAATAAAGACATTGTGCCCATGTATAACTAAAAAAACAAACAAACAAAACAAAACAAAACAAAACAAACTCAAAAAATGGTCCAAGTAAATTTCAGAATAGGGACTGGCCTGAGAAAAGATTCTGCCTTATATTGCTGGACAACAGAACTTTATAGAGGAGAAATAAAATTCATGTATTTTAGTTTTTGTCCATCAGTTTTAGCCTTATGTCTCCAAGTTTTGCTAAAGCCCACTCTACAATGGACCTTAGAATCTTTCCATAAACACACACACACACACACACACACACAATTAAAAAACAACAACAACAACTATTTCTTCCTCCCTCCTGCCCTCTCTCTCTTTCTTTCTTTTAGAGACAGGGTCTTGTCGAGTTGGTGAGGGATTCGATAAGTTGCTGAGGCAGGCTTTGAACTTTCGATCCTCCTGCCTCAGCCTCCCAAACCACCGGGACTACAGGTGTATGCCACTGCACCTACCTAGCTACAGATAATGTTTCATCTGTGCTAAACAAGTCCCCTGCCAAGCAGTTGGTACTATGACAAGAAGTCCTTAAAGGAGGTAATAGGGAGGTACCTGAAGGTTCATACATTCTTTCATTCAATCAGAGTTTATTTAGTGACATCAGGTGACAGGCATTGGCCTGGGTACTGGGGACTCTAGATGCAGATCCAAGCCTCAAATTGCTGGGGGCTCTGGGAAATGGGAAAAAGTTAACAAGCAATGGTGACAAGGCTTGATCCCATTGGGGTAAAAAAAAGAAAAAAACCACAGGGCAGCAGTAGCTAAAACCCAGATGTGAGGAGGGTGGTGGGAGGCTCAGGGAAAGCCTTTGGGGTGGGGTGGGGGAGTGTCCTGAATGGAAACTAGCCAGGCTGAGGGGAGGGGTGTGAAGGAAAGCATTCTGGGAAGAGGGAATTCCATGCAGAAAGTATTCYATCCAGGAGCAGCAAAAGCCCAGTTCCTCTTGCTTAACCTAGTTCAACATCTTGATTTTGCAGGGTTGAGGACAACTCTTCCCAAATGTGCACATCAGTAACTAAACATGTTTTCTGTGACTCAAGTCCACCCTGGCTGCCCCCATTCAGATTTTCCCAGGGCCAAGGCACAGTAACTGGACTGCCACTCGAGGTCTCATTTCCTGCCCCAGAATATGGCCCCCTTCTAAGGCCCTAAGCATGGATTTAGGAAAAGCCTATAAAACGCACCAGAGAGAGCACTCACACACCTATAAACTCTTCATCTAATTCCTGACAATACAAAGCATCTGATGTGGGTCATAGAGAGATTCTACTAATTGAAAATGTCTTGCTCGACTTAATAGGTTTCCTTTATTGCTGCATTCACCCCGAGCCAAACACAAGTCTGACTTTTAACAAGACTAGAGGCCATGGAATCTAACCTGATAAGGACATAATCTAAGAWAGGGGATAACTCTATGCACAGGCATAAATTCATCACAGCATTTATCTGCAATAGTGGAAAAATAATTTTTAAAAAATACTTAAAAGTGCTCAAATGGGTGAATGGTTAGATAATAACRTTATATCCTTTCTGGAATTTTTGCAACTTTTAACAAAGATGACAACTTATAATGTGCTGGGAAATGTTAGCAAAGGACAATATTAAGTGGAAAGAGAAAATATATAGAATCATACAACTATTATGCTTACAACCATGCAAAAAATATAAATATGAAAAATGCTGGAAAGACATGCACCAAAATGAGAACAGTATTTGAATTAGTGTGATGTGATTATGAATCTTTCTCTAGTTTGTCTAGTTCCTTTACTGCATTTATAATACTTTTCAAATCAACTTTTTWAAAAAATCATTTATTTTTTTTAGTTGTAGTTGGACACAATACCTTTATTTTATTTACTTATTTTTATGTGGTGCTGAGGACCAGACCCAGGGCCTTGCATGTGCTAAGTGAGTGCTCTACCGCTGAGCCACAACCCCAGCCCTAGAATCAACTCTTAAAAGTTTGCAAGCTCAAAGCACCAACTCTTAAAGTTTGCAATCTGAACATTTTTAAATCCAAGCAGCATGAACAAGACACCAGAGACTGCACGTGGATCTCCCCTCTGCAACACACTATTTCTCTGAGAACGAGCCAGTGGGCATCATTCCAGCCCTCTGATGAACTGTAGCATCTTTATGACAAAATGTCCTAGGGGACAAGATGCAACCCCCTCAGAACCTGAGACAGACATTTGAGAACATCAGCCAAGGGGGGGGGGGCGGTTATAAAAGTTGAAGATGAACAATGGATTTTAAAGCTCTTTAAATCAGGTTCAGAAACATCACCATTCTTTCGACCCTGGGGGGGGGGGGAACAATGCTCTTTTCAAAAACAAGGTGAACAAGACCAGGGTCTGTGATGGCTAATGACTTCTCTGACCCCAATGTGTTCTCAGTTTGGGGAGAAATTGGCTGATTTCCTGTGTCTCAGCTTCTCCAGATGTTCACCAGTGATGGTGACGTCCACCCAGGGGATGGGGGAAGGAAGGGGGCCACTTAGCCCTTAGAGGAAAGACAGAGCACAGAGACTGTTTCTCTTTCTTCACAACGACAAGAGCTCAACTTAAAAAGAATGAACTGTTTTCTATCCCCTCTGAGCAAGGGAGTCTAAAGCAGTTTTAGTTACAGCAAGAGTTATTACTTAGGTTCCATTACAGTTAACTCCTTCTGAGAAGAGAGAATAGCTAATGGCAGTTGTGGAATTTCCTCTTCTAGAGATTGGAACAATAGGTTAGATATACATCTGGCCTTGAACGCCCAAGGCACAGCATCCACAGAAACAGACTGAACAAAAATAGCACACATACAAAACTTGAGGTGTGTCCCTGCCATTCTCCTACCGATTTTAATAGAAATTTAAAACCAGTTGACATCGTCCCCCTCTATCCCCTGCTGAAGCAACCTCTGGATCTCATTAAATTCAGAAGAAACATTGAAGGTTGACCAGAAAAGATTTACCTGAACTAGGAGTTCCAGCTTCCTGTCATCAAGAAGATGGACTTGACATCGACGGCCCTCCGTCATCTACAAGGGAAAAGAAATGGTGGTCACTGAGAGTCTAGAGAATCACACAAAGGGTCAGAGGGTCCCAAGCTGGACAGATTGCTTCATTCATTGGTTCATGCATTTGAAAATCTTTATTGAACACTTCCTATATACATACGGGGTGCTCTTCTGGGAGCTGGGTGTACAGTGGCATACAAGGACAGGTCTCTGACCTCGTGGAACTTACATTCTCACAGAGAAAATATGAAATAAATCGGCAAATACAAACAGAACATACACCAAGTGGTGGTGTTAGTCATTCTTCCTTTCTTCTTCTATTCAATAACCATATTGCCATAAGTGAGGTCATCTCCAGGGAGCAGATGGCCACCCAATGGCAACTGAGTTTGATTTCTGTGTTAGCTAAGCATCTCCTCTCCTCATGTATGACCTGAGTCCCTGCAGTGCTGTCATCAATTATAGGACAGCCCTGGAGATAATGTCCATAGATAACCCTGACTCCTGTCCCTTATGCCTTTCAGGACTGCTATCTCTTAGCAATACACAGAAAGGTAGGGCACTGAGACCAGCACCAGGAGACCCAAGGGTGGGCATGGCTCTGATGGTTCCCAGCTGCAGGATTTTATTCATCTCTGCACCCCAGGCTCATATACAGAAACAAATGGGCTGGGCCTGATGACACACTGGTGAAGGTTTCAACTAGATTTCTAGAAGGATGGAGCCCCGATCTGTAGCATTTTCTGGAGCCCTGGCAGCATCCTCAAAAATAAAAACAAAAAAAACAATCCTCTGAAGAGCAAGGTCCCTCACATGTCAGGTGGCCATGGCTATAACCCATAAACTGACATGCTGCACCACAAATACCTTCACTACATCTGATGTCAGCTTACTGTTATGACAAAGAATTGACAGTTATCCAACATCAGATAAATAATCTCGAGAGTGCTGATAATGGCAAAGGGTAGTAAAATAATCCGGACATCATGCCCTTTGAATATGACCTGGGCTTTTAAAATAATGCATTTAATTATGAATTTATACAATTTAATTTTAATAATGGCTATGCTTGGCAACTGGCACCCCGTTGTCATTCTGAAAATGTAGCAATTAGCTCCCACAAAGTGGTGTGAGTTGTTCCAACACCACAGTGTAGGTCAGATGACCCATAAGGTTCCTTCCTGCCCCTCCTGCCCAGTATTTTACATGACTCAACAGTGCTCTTGAAGGACACCTTTCCCCCAGTGACCAGTCACCTTAAGCAAATCAAAAGAAAGGATGCGCATAAGCAGATCCTGACACTGTCCCATTACATGGCCATAAGTTCTCACGAGCACTCTCTCCAGGGAAGGTGGAAAAAGCATTGTATTCAACAGGAATAGTTCTCTGACCATGAGCATGTCCGGAGTTCTCCTAGAGCCCTAGGAGAAAATCCCCTTATTCCCTCCTCAAAGCAGTCAGCCCACCATGCTCCCATCAATTCTGAGTTCCCCAGTTAAAGGGTCTTAATCAAAATAGACGGAACTGGGCACTATCATGCTAAGTGAAATAAGCCAATCCCCCCAAACCAAAGCCCCAAATGTTCTCTATGATATGCGGATGCTAACACACAATAAAGGAAAAGGAAAATTGGATTAGACTAAGGGGAATGAAGGGAAGGGGAGGGGGTTGGGAATAGGAAAGACAGTAGAATGGATTTGCCATAATTTTCCAAATGTTCATATGTGAATACACGACCAGTGAAACTCCACATCATGTACAACACAAGAATGGGAAGTTATACTCCATGGATGTACAACTTGTCAAAATACATTCTACTGTCACATACTTCTAAAAAGAAACATATAAAAATTAAAAAAAGAAGAAGAAAAAGAACAAAACAGCATGGTCTGCTTGGATAAGTCTAATCTCAAATGCTTCTTGATTTTAGGCTATAACAACTCAGCAGTCAAACTTCACAGGCACTCTAACAAAAAGACTTAACTGGGCTAAAAATGAGGTAAAACTTCAGCCCAAAGGCTCATCAGTGTGCACAAACAAGCCAGAACACTCAGCTATGGACATGAGATGGGTTCTATGCAAAGTTCTTTGTACACAAGGTTGGGTGTTAATTGCTTCAGTTGAAAAACAGGTTCAAAGTTCTATTAGAATAGAACTTTGAACATAGTAGGCATCCTAATTGAGTGACTTAATTTGAAAAAAAAAAATATTACTTCTTTTCAATCAATCCACTACCAAGTCCAATGAAAATCGTTACAATTTTAAATTAAACCAAAATCTGTGCTGCAATGCCAATATGTACAAACGATTCATTTTTTTWAAAAAAAAATAAAGACAACAAAGTACAAAATGCTGATTTCAAATTTCAGTTGGGTAATTAATAGCAACTGCGTAGCTACTCTGGATAAAATTCTGGAGTCACAGAAATTCAGCTCTCATTGGAAAGTTTAATAGAGTGGAAGTTCTAGGAAGGAAAGTGGTTCCACTGTTCTATGTATTATTTTGAAATTTTAAAAAGATATATTTATCACAGGTTTGAGATAATTCCCCAAAGCTCAAGGATTAGAAGAGTTTTATGCAAGAAAGGCTGCTTGTCTTTCACATCTTCCAAACACAAAGTTTTGAGCTTCATTACGTTGTAAAAGTTTGAGTGTATACACATGCTTTCAAATGATTTGTTCAGGTTCTACCAAATTTTATGAAAACAATTTGGTATCTGAAAGACATTACTCCATTAAATAAAGTTTTAATCACAGTGATTTAAAAAAATGGGTAGTACAATCACTTTCTCAAAATATTTCCAAGCACATAAGTTCACACTTAAAACTTTTACCCCAAGGGTCTTATTTTAATCTAAAAAAATAAAATTTTCATTAAGTTAAATAATGTCACTTTATGTGCTGTGTATGGAGATGTTAGTATCTAGTCCTTGGGATTTTGAAGCATGCTCCAGATTTTAATGCCTCCCTTGTGGAAAGCAAAATCTACCTGCAAGAAACTGGTACAGAGGAATAAGTTGGAACAGAAACTTGGGTTTGAATCATGAAGTTTTTCAAGGTACGACCTTCTTTTGACAGTATGGCTGGGGTTTGTTTCTCAAAGTGCACTGTTTGCTCTTCCATTCTCCAGTAAGACTGGAGTTCCCTGTTTTCATCCTAGGTTCAGAAAAGGTTCATCCTCGTGGGTGTGGACAGAGAAAGAGGAGACATCTGTAGCTTTGTTTGCCTTGCCAGGCACAGTGAAAATTTCTTCTGAATACTAACAATTGTAAAATAATATTGCTTTTTTTTTCTTCCCCTTTCATTTTCAGCTGCTCAGGCACAATCGGAGTCCTGGCATCACCCTCAAAGGAAATCCTTTGGAGAACAAGGCTTCGCAGAGACGTCAGCTGGCTACCATCCCAACCATAAATCATATTCTGCAAAAAAGTTCTATACCAAGCACAGGCCTGCCAAGTGCTCTGTGCCTCTAAGGGATATATGGAAAAGAGTGATTTTGAAAGTGAGGTGTCCACCTCGATTTATCCAACTTTGCTGTTAACTTACACTCCTAATCATCAAGACTGCATCAGTAAGGGAAGACACATGTGATTCTAACCTAAGTGGGCATAGCAGAACATGAACCAATATGTGTGCTATGAAGCAGCCAATAAAATTGTCATGAAAATGGATGGGGATTAGAAGGCAAAATCAAAATAGTTGATGTACTAGGGTAGAGACTCCTGGGTGGCTCCTCTTCACCCCCCACCCCCACCCAAATATTGTTTCTCAACTGTTCCTTTTCTCTGCCGCCCGCCCGCCCCCCCACCCCCTGTTAAAAGAGTCCTGAAAAAGAAACTTTATCTAGAAAGATGAATGAGATTGTTTGAAGTCAGGCATAGGAAATGGAGCCTGACAAGATTCTTACTCAGCCAATTCACTTAGATGGCTTCTATTTTTAACATGTAAAATCAAGTTTATGAATTTAAAAATGAGAATTAAAAGTTGTCACACAATCCAAATACTCAAGACTGAATGTCTGACACATTCTCTGTCTGTAGAGAATTAATAGGTAGCCAACTGTGACTGGAAGTGATTCCTGGAGTACAAAAGCTGGGAAGAGGGGGTTCATAAATACCCCTGTCTGAGGGTGTCTGTCTATGACAGCCTGATACAATCCCAATGGTGAAGGGACTATTGCTCGGATGTGATAGGGAAGTCTCCTCTTTGGGGCATGACTTAAAGAAAAAAATCAACAAATAACTAGTGAAAATAGCAAATAAATAAACAGGAATGACTAAATGGTGACTTCAGAATACTCTCTAGGGAGAGGTGCAGGGTGCCCAGTTCAGGGATTTGCTTTTTCTTGCTGAGGTTCAGATTTGCAACAGCCACAGCCCAGCAACTTTGAAAGCACTCTGCCCACATCACGCAGGGATATGGAAGGCAATGGAAATCAATGTTTGGCCAACTTTTTCTTAAAGACACTATAAACATTCTGAGTGTGAAAACCTCAGATATGTTTTATTAAGAATATTTTCTCTTCTAATATAAAGCCAAGTCCATCCCATTTTCATGTGCTTCTTATTATCACTTTTTTCTCCATACCACATACTTTTTCTCTGTCTTAAGGTTTAGTGACTGCTTAGATGTCCTCTCTTCCTCGTTTCTTGCTCCTCACCAAACATTTTACATATCATGGTATACATATATGCAGGAAGAGCTCCAAAGAAATAATCCTAGTTTTGCTATTAATTGTATTTTTGTAGAAACGTAATGCAAGTATACAAATGGTAACACATCCATTTGAAGGTATCAGATTCTGAACTCAAAAAAAAAAAAAAAAAAAAGCATCGTTTAAAATCAAACCTAAGCCAGGCACAATACAGAATGCCTGCAATCTCAGCTACTTGGGGGTCTGAGGCAGGAGGATCTCAAGTTCAAGGCTAACCTGGGCAATTTGGCAAGACTCTGTTCAAAACAAACAAATACATAAAATGGGCTAAGGATGTAGCTCAGTGGTAAAGTGCCAGCCTAGCATGT